AAAATTTGTGAATTACTGACAACAATCTTGTGGCATTTTGAAGAACTTCAATGTATAGACAATTCCAGATTTTTAATATCTAAAAAGTGAGACATTATATTTTGACTTATATCTGTGCCAGAAAATAACCATAATTTTAAATTCCTTTTCTTACAGGAGATTATATTGTGCTAAAACAGATCAGTACTTTAGAAATTTAAGGAAATGATCCAGATTTCAAGGGTATTCAACATATTTAGACTTTTGCAATTTCCACCATGATGCCATTTTGTTCCATGGTACATGAATTCTTTAAAAAAAAAAAAAAAAAGGAAAAAAAATTAAGAGCTTTTTCTGTCACATACCACCTCCAAGTTTTTTCTTTAAATTTGTTAGAAAATTTTCCCATTAGTAAATATTCATTAAATACTTACTAATGCTAATCCATTAAATGCTAAATACCTTTCATTTAATCCTTTTAATCAATTAAATTCCAATGGAAGGTAGAATCTTCAATTTACAAATGATGAGAGTAGTTAAACTGGCCAAGATGAAATTAACACATGTAACTGGTAGACCCAGCATTCATACTTGGACTAGCGTGACCATTACCAACTATTGTCACATAGCCTCTCAAGATGTTTTGATTCCTACTGGCTAACAATAAAGTTACATTATTTTATTTAATCCTTTCAGAATTCTACATGACATTCATCATTTTATCAGGAGAGCATTTGTAGCGTGAGAAGTTTTATCTGACTTCAAATCTCATGTTGTTTCTATTTTTTTATTTTATTAAGTCAAATACACATAGATCATGGATACATTCATGCATATGCAGGGTACAATGTGCTGAGAAGCCCAAGTGGCCCTCATGTTGTTTCTAGTCAGTGGACTTAACATCTTCCTAAACTAACCTCTTCTGTAAGTATTCCTATATCTTTAATGTGCATGAACAGAATGGGATACATACTGTTTGTGGTTTATTGAGACTATAAGCTCTGATCTTCATATATTCCAATATTTTTAACAATTACTAGTTTGGCATCCCATATTGGTTCATATTCAGGTTGGAGAGCCAGGCAGGTATCTTGAGCCCAGGATTTTAAGTTTGCAGTGAGCTATGATTGTCCTACTGCACTCCAGCCTGGATGACAGTGAGACCTTGTTTTTTAAGAAAAATGAACTAAAAGGCTTAATTTAAGTATCTTAATATTCTATATACCATTAGCCATTTAAAGAATGTTCTGCCCATGGTGGTGCCCATAGCTCAGTGGGTAGGGCACTGACCACAAACACTGAGGCTGGCAGGTTTGAACCTGGCCGGGGCCAGCTACACAACGACAACTGTAACAATGACAAAAAAAATAGCCAGGTGTTGTGGCAGGCGCCTATAGTCCCAGCTACTTGGGAGGCTGAGGCAAGAGAATCACTTGAGCCCAAAAGTTTGAGGTTGCTGTGAGCTGTGATGCCATGCACTCTACCCAGGGTGACAGCTTGAGACTCTGTCTCAAAAAAAAAAGAAGAATGTTCTGACCAACTAAAATAAACCCTGAAAGTAAAATTCCAATCTCAAACAATGGCATACCCAAGATTCCAAGTTGTATTAGCCAGTGCTCATTTTTACATCATCTAAAGTTTGAAGAAACATTTTTTCTTGCATGTTTGTTATTACCACTGATGAAATCATTGTGGTTACATTACTGATGAAATTACTGTATTAAAGGTAACCTTGAAACACTCTACCAAAGATTTTCTTCAAAGTTACCATGAATAATTAATGAAATAGTCTTTCAGTGTCAACTGCCTTGTACAAACAAAAACATTCTAAATCGATGCCTTTCCCTCTTTTCATAAACAATCATTCATCTATAGCAGTGGTTCTCAACCTTCCTAGTACCTTCTAATGCGGCCACCCTTTAATACAGTTCCTCATGTTATAGTGATCCCCAATCATAAAATTATTTTCGTTGCTACTTCATAACTATAATTTTGCTATTGTTATGAATCGTAATGTAAACATGTGATATGCAGGATGTATTTTCATTGTTACAAAGGGGTTGCAACCCACAGGTTGAGAACTGCTGATCTATACAGAAGGAATTCTCTCTATAAATACATATATGTAGACAAATAACTTCATTTTTTTGTCCTCCAACAAGGATTTAGTTCATTTTTCTACAATTAACTCTTAGTGAATCTCTGCTGGTTTGAGTACACAATTAGTCATAATTTAAAATCCATTTTAGAAAAGCTCTGGACATTTAACTTTTAGTCTCTTTAAACATCAAAAGGTTTTAACTTTGTTCTTTGAATTCAAAGTTGTCCAGTCCTTAATATTTTGTATTAAACCATGTAACATCAAATATAAGAAAATACTTTTTAAAATATGCTCTACAAAAAGTATACCTTAATAAAACTTAAATATAAAACCTCTGTCCAAATCTAGAATTTGAGACTTATCTTCCTTAGCAAATTGAAAAATCTTATGAGTTTTATACTTGAAAACGTCTTTTATAAATAAAAGCTTGCACAGCCGAGTATGATGGCTCATGCCTATAATCCTAGTACTCTGGAAGGCCATGGCAAGAGGATCACTTGAGCTCAGAATTTATAGACCAACCTGAGCAAGAGCCAGACCCCGTGTCTATCAAAAATAGAAAATAGCCAGGTGCTGGGACTACTTGGGAGGCTGAAATAAGGGGAGCACTTGAGTCCAGGAGTTTGAGGTTGCGCCAGCACTTCAGCCTGGGTAACAAGTGAGACTCTACCTCAAAAAATAAAATAAAAGCTTGTAGGCTTGGCACCTGTGGCTCAAGTGGCTAAGGTGCCAGCCACATACACCTAAGGTGGCAGGTTCGAATCCAGCCCAGGCCCACCAAACAATGATGGCTGCAACCAAAAAATAGCTGGGTATAGTAGCAGGCGCCTTTGGTCCCAGCTACTTGGGAGGCTGAGGCAGGAGACTTGCTTGAGCCCAGGAGTTGGAGGTTGCTGTGAGCTGTGATGTCACAGCACTCTACCCAGGGGGATAGCTTGAGGCTCTGTCTCAAAAAAAAAACTTGTACCGTGTTCACACTTTCACACCTTGCTTTCTTTTTTTTGAGACAGAGTCTCACTCTGCTGCTCAAACTAGAGTGACATGGCATCAGCCTAACTCACGGCAATCTCAACGCCTGGGCCTGGCTAAGTTTTCTATTTTGTGGTAGAGACAGGGTCTTGCTCTTGCTCAGGTTGGTCTTAATCCACTCCCCGCCCTCCTACACCAGCTCAAGTGATCATCCTCCCTCAGCCTCCCAGAGTGCTTGGATTACAGGCTTGACCCACCACGTCCTGCCATTTTTGGTTGTTGCTGTTCACCAAACAGGAAAAACTTAGAGAACATGAATTTGCATATCAAATTCTTAGACTACAAAATAGGGATCAAAACACTTAAACTTTTAAGAGATACTTTAAGAAATAAAACAGCCCTATTTTATATAGAGAATAGCCAGAAAGTAACAGCTGACTAAAATTCTACATGTCTTTTTTTTAAAAAATAAGCTTTATTAACCAATCATAGATCTAGTCATGTTTTGAGCATTTGCAATTTCAGTATCAGTGAGGAATTAAAAAAAAAAAAAAAACAGCTGCTCCCAGAAAATAACCTTCAATCCTTGTCACTCCTGAGCATATCCAAACTACTAGGACTAAATAGCCCAGCTGGTCAAAATGGTTAAAAGCTTCAGCAGAAGTGAAAATACATTAAAACTCAAACTCAAACACTGGTGTCCTAGTGCCTCATGTAGTTTATTGGTAGTTATTATCCACATTTCTATAAATGTAAACATTCTAAGTGACCATCACTAGTGCAGGTACATTTAACATATGAAAGCTCCACAGGAAGCTACTTCATTTTGTTTGTAACAAGAATCAAGATTCCAAAAACTCACTTGTGCCACTAAAATATAATAATAACCAAAACAAACCCTACTAGCAAAGTGAATCTCTTCCGGTGATTTTCAGAACTGTTGGCTTTACACATACAAAGTATGCTGATTTAATAATGTATGATCACATAGGTAAGAATAAGATAAGTCTTTCCTCCTCATTGAGTTTTTACAATTCCCATGTAAACAGCACCAGTGAATTTTCATAAAACAGCTTTGCTACTTTTCCCTTTATTTTCTATAATTGTAGTTATTTGTGGTACTGTACCATTTCCTCCTTCATATAATCAGGACTGGATAGTTATGTAACACTCTTAAATTTGTAAACAAAAAAATTAAAGCTCAGAACACATATAGGATATCTTTTACATTTTCATTCCACAGCACATTGTGTTCTTTATAAAGCTTTTGCTCCTCCCAACACATTACAAAAATATATGAAAAACCATTTATCTGTTTCCAGCCAGCAAATGTTAACAAATATCTCTTAACTAGAATATTTTAGAGATCATATAATTCCATCGTCTTGACTGAATTCATCAATTGCTTTCTTCATAAATCCATATGCATTTATTAGTTTACATGCCCCTATTCACTACATAAGTAAATTATTTTAGGTTCTTCAAGTGAAAGTGCTTCTGACAACAAACTATTTCTATAATTGCCCTAAATCCCCCAAAGAAGTTGTTTTAAACCTGTGTAGAAAAATGCATAGCTATTTCTAAAAAGACTACACACCAAAACATGCTTTGTAGGAAAACTAACCCATGCACTTGAATATACCCCAAATATCTTATTTTCATTAAAGTTAGGCCAACTTAAATAATGAGAATCAAGATATATCATTAAATTATTTGATTCTGGAAAACATCAAAAATCATTTGGCCAAAATTTAAAAAAGCAACACCCCTCCTTGTCCCTTACATTAAAAAAGGACTGTTTGGACCAATGTGATCAATGTAACTGCATTTATATTAATCTACCTTAACATTTCCACTCACTAGCATTTTACCACAACATACAAATCCTCATATGCAATTTCCTTGCAAAGGTTTCCCCCCAAAAGATATAAGCACAAAACAATAGGCAGATACTCTTCAAAGTTTTATTTCACTAACTTCAGGTCAAATTTCCACAACTGTGCTCTGGTCAATTTATTATCCTTGCTTGGCTTCCCAAAATGGTAGTACCAAAAGATTTGTAGGTCAGGGAGAAAAGACCACTTTAAGAAGCACTGCATTTACTCATCTTCCACAAGGCAACAGCGTTGAGCATCTGATTGTTCAACAAAACAAAGCTTTAATAGCATCCAGGAGGGCAGACAGGCAAACCAGACTGTAGACACTCTTCGATTTGTCAAAATCAAACCAGAGAAAACCTACTCCACAGATATAAAAGGCTGATATTCATCTTTTCTTTTTCTGTTGTCGCAACATTTTTCTTCTTTTAATTATCATATCATGTAGTTTCTCAAGTCCTTCCTTTAGTCCATCTCCTATGATTGCACAGGTCGGCTGCAAATGCCAAGGAGTTGATGAACTCAGTTCACCCATTGCTAACAATTTCTCAATTTCTGAGAGAGACAACGAGTTTCTCAAGTCTTGTTTGTTAGCAACTATAAGTACAGGGACTCCCTGATTTTCTGATATCCTAGTTATTTTATGAAGTTCAGTTTTGGCTTCTTCCATCCTTTCGACATCAACAGAGTCCACAACAAACACAATGCCATCTGTGCATCTGGTATATGACTTCCACAGTGGCCTTAATTTCTCCTGACCACCTACATCCCAGAAGTGAAAAGTGACTGTTTTAGAATTTCCTAAGGTTACCTTAATTTTCTCAGTGTTAAATCCTTTGGTAGGTACAGTATTTACAAATTCATTGAACTGCAGCCTGTATAAAACAGTTGTCTTTCCAGCACAGTCCAAACCCAGAATAACAATGTGGAAGGACTGAAATGAAGGCAAGCTGGACAGGATAGAAGTCTGGTCTGACAGTCCATTCCCCATTTCCAGCTGCAATAGGTGTCCCCAATTGAAATGCTTTCTTCTTATTGCTTTAGAACTTCTCTTCCTAGGTGATCAGGTGATAAGACTTCTGGAAGGGGGAGGGAGGAATGAATAAGTTATTCTCATGAAATAGACTTAAACTGATTTTCTCTAGTTTTGCTAAAATAATCAACAAGAGGAATTTAAAACTTAACTTCAGTAAACAAACCAGATAACATATGAAACATGCGCAATCCCAGACAAATGACAGAATAATTGATTTAAATGCTCTGATTCACTTGTCGTAATATACGCCCCTGAGTCCCCAAACCTCAAAGACCTCATTCCGGATAAAACCCAGTCACCAGTATCTGGTTTAAATCAGCTTAACCACCCAAGTGCCTTCTTTTGGCAGAGAACTAATAACATAATCCTACCTTGGGGATCTAATTCCAATGCTTAACACCATACCCAAGATCACTGTTACCACATCATTCCCGAAAATAAGAACGTCTCACCTCCCAAATTAGAGTCTGGGTCCCGAAGAGAAAGCATTAGCAGGCGCTTCTACGCCGGGCGCAGGACCCGCTTAGCTCTCAAAGCAGCTCTGGCTCTGGCAACCGGGGAACTAGAAACCTTGGGCTCAGGTTCTGACCACGCCCACTCCTCACTGCCCACCCATGTTCCGAAATCCCATTGGTCACCCGCCCCAGGGCAAACAGGCAACTCCCGCCCCCGCCCCCTAATTGGCGAGGTAACTGCCGCTCCCCGCGTGGCAGAGCAGGGCTTTCTCTCTCGGTCCACCGGCACCACCTGTTGCCCTTAAGTTAGAAAACAAGGAGCTCTCAGAGGGAGCCGAGCGGCCCCTGCAGGGGAAAGGGAGCCTCGGACGGTCAGGCCGACGCCGGCTCCGCCCGCCCTGCCGCACCTGCGGCTCGGCCAACTGACGCGGAGTCCTGGCTCTCACATCCGGGGCCCGCAGTCACCGCTGGCGTATTAACCCTTTGTCCACTGGCCCGCGGGTGTCTGTGGGGGTGTCAACCCCCCAGGCACGAAAGGTCTACGCTGCGGGCCCCACCAGGGCAGGCCCACCCTCCCTGCAGCAGGATCCCGTCACCTCGCCCCTTTCGCACTCGGCCGGCTCTTCTCCCTCAGTAAGGCGTGGCCCCCCAGCCTCCGTCCCCGCTGCGGCTCACCTGGCAAACCGTCCTTGCCTCGTCCGGACTCAATGTCTCTCTGCTGCTTGAGAGCCGAGCTGACACCTGTCCGTGGGCACCAGCGAGGCCTGGAGGTAGGGGGACACAAGACACCCCTGCCAGGGGCGCCGGGCGGGCGCCGCGAGCCAGGCAGCCCTAACGGTGCTCGCCGGCAGCTCCCAACGCCTGCCGTGGCCCCGCCCCCTTTCCGCGCGGAGCCGGGGCTCCGGCCAGTGGGGGGCGCGCAGGAGCCGGTCGCCTAGCAACGCCAAAACAAGGTCACGTTCGAACCCACCCGGCGCCGGCTGCCTGCTAGGTCGGGTGTGGCTTCCGGCCACTGCCTGGAAGCCGTTGCTCGGAGGAGACTTTCTGCTGCCGCCCGCCAGCTTCAAGCAGGCACCGCCCTAAACCGCCTTTCCTCAGGACACCGCAGGGCGTCCTTTGGGCAGAGACCACGTGACGTAAGGGCAGGGATTCCAGGGACTACTGGACCGGCTGTCCCTTTATATAACGAGGTGACGTGGAAGTATTTCAGAAGTTGCTCTGAGCAGCCCGCGGCTTGCTGGTTTGGTAACGCACCTTCCTTATGTAAAGCAAATGAACTTTCTCTTTCCCGCGTGATTCCGGCAGCATCCCGGGGACAGACCTGGGGACGGGAAAAAAAATCCCAATTTTTTTTTTTTTTTTTGAGACACATTCTCACTTTGTTGCCCTGGGTAGAGTGTCTTGGCGTCACAGCTCACAGCAACATCAAATTCTTGGGCTCAAGCGATTCTCTTGCCTCAGCCTCCCAAATAGCTGGGACCACCGCCGCCCATCTATTTTGTTGTTGTAGTCCTTTTTAGCAGGCCCCAGTTTGTGTGGCCGCACCCTAACTACTGAGCTACGAGTGTGGAACCTTTCCCAACTTTCTGGGGTTTTTGTTTGTTTTTTTGAGACAGAGCCTCCAGCTGTCGCCCTGGGTAGAGCACCATGGCGTCACAGCTCACAGCAACCTCAAACTCTTGGGCTTAAATGATTCTCCTGCCTCAACCTCCAAAGCAGCTGGGACTACAGGCGCGGGCCACAACGCCAGGCTATATTTTGGTTGTAGTTGTCATTGTTGTTTGGCAGGCCCGGGCTGAATTTGAACCTTCCATCTCCGGAGTGGCTGGCGCCCTAGCTGCTGAGCTATAGGCGCCGAGCCCCTGTTCCAATATTTTTGAGACAATTTTTTGCAGATGAGAAAATACAATCTGAGAGGAACATACATCCTAGGAACTAGGAACATACATATTTACAAGCACTACTAGGCAATTCTCACTGTTAGCCAAGTTTGGAAAACTATAATGAAGGCAGAGGTTCACAGAGTCTCTGGTATCTCAGGAATTTTTTCATGGTGCCTCATGCCTAATGAAATATCAACAAATCCCATTTATTTTATGGTATTTTTGTTTCAGATTATTATGGGGGTACACATGTTTTGGTTATATAATTGGCATTTGTATGGTTAAAAATCAGAGTTACAGGTGTGTCCTTCACCTGGAAAGTGTGCTATATGCCCATAAACAGAACCAAACAACTTAATAGGTCTAGTTTTTAACATAATTCAACAAATGTCACTGTTTTTTCCTCAAAAAGTTAAAGTATCCCACAGAACCCCTAGGAATTCCCTAAGGCACCCTAGGGCATAGCAGCACAGTTTATGAGCTACAGCCTACAGGGAACCTTTTCCTGCCTGGCATGGTATATAAACCAAGTATCTAAACGGGCCTAATCTAGGAAGCCTGTCCAACCACGTCAATGTGTTCCACAAGTTTTATTACTTTTTATATCATTTGTTGCTGTTTTCATATGGTTTTATTTGTAGAACAGGCTACCAAACAATAATGGGCAGAACTTGTGACCCATAGTAAACAATAATCAGTATAATTCATGACCCCAAACAACATTCCAATTCAAAAGTTAATCTCCTAAATCACTCCACCTAAACTACTCAAGATAGGCATCTTTGGGGTGGGAGCTAAATTTATAAAACAGTAAATGGGAGACAGGGGTGAAGGTCAGATAGGGCCTAAACTGACCAGACCAGCTGTGTCTTGTCTGCCCTAGCCAGACAGACTCCATCTCATTCTCACCATACATGCATTTAATTTCAAACTGAGAGGAAAGGGGTATTATACGCCCCCCGCTGCCATTGTATTCGTGTCTCTTTGACCTTGTCTCCAACATAAGAGGGACCCACTTCCAACACTCTTATGAAGTGCTCTAAACTTTCTGTTTGTTCTTCCTAAATAAAATCTCTCTTTGTTACCCTAAAACTTATATAGGTTGCTTTTGCTCTCTATCCACACTGCCTGAGCCGCTCCAGTTTTATTTTCGGTTTCCACTCGCTTTTACTTTTTAATTACTGCTATGCCTCTGTTGAACTTTCTAGCTCAGCCAAGTAATCAAACCAGGTTAACTGAGTTTGGAGAACCAGTACCCCCAACCTCCAACAATTAAAACTGGGTAATTTTTCTTGTTTCCTTTTTTGAATTAAATACCAAGACTCGTACCACATCTGGTCTCTGTAGCATTTTTTATCTCTTCTACAATCTGATTTTTATGATGCACATTCTGAAATTAACTGATGTTTGCTTCCAACCTTTGTCATTCTACATATATATGTTACATATTTATATGTTTTAAGGATACCTCACTTCCTTTGCAAGCATATTTATTAGAATTTTTCAAGTTGAAGATCTAGGTAAGCAGAAGACTTGGTCTCTGGTTAAAGGAACTAGTCCAGGGGAGGCAATAGACACATAGACTCACAAGGACACAGTTTCTTTACTCTCCATTAGGACTTCTGCATAATAAAATTAAAATTACTATTCTGGAATCCTGGCATTCCAGGATTGCTTGAGGTCAGGAGTTTGAGACCAGCCTAAGGAAGATTGAGACTCCCTTTTCTACCAAAAATTGAGAAAAATTACCCAGGCATCCTAGTTCATGTCTACCATCCCAGCTACTCAAGAGCTTCATAACACCACTGCACTGTACTCAGGGTGCTGAAGTAAGAAAAGATACCTGGAAAAAAGTAAGATCTAAGAGGACAGAGGTTACACTTGTGTGGTCCTCCCCATGGTGACTTAGCTCTTAGGAATTTATAGAAACTTAACTTTCTGGGACCTGGAAACTTCCAAATTCTCTAAAAGCCTGTGGTTCTGTTAAAGCCTGTGCCTGCTTCTCCAGCTTGATTCATACTGGCCAACGAGAAAGGTATCTATCCATGGGCCAGAACTTCTTGACTGGGGATAAAAAGGGGAAGACTGAGCCAGTTGGGGAGTGGGGCTATTTTTTATTCTATGCCATCCCTCCACCAGCTGAAATAAAGTCCTTTCTCTTTTACTCATGGTGTTTGGGTGCTCTTTCTCTCCATTGGGCCTGGTCTTCCTGCAAAAAAAGCAAGACTCTGTCTCAAAAAAAAAAAATTATCAAGTCCTATACTTGTAAAAACTTTATCTGACACATTCAGTGTAGCTTAACAGAGAAATGTCATTTTTGAGCTGGATATTAAGAGAAGCTATAACCGATGAGGGAGAACAGAAGAGCAGGTAGAAGCAACAGTGTACATACAGAACGTGGAGACACAAAATGATGAGCGATTCCAAAAGAGGAGATTCTAATTTCCTATGGGAAGCAAAGGTGTGCTGTTTTCACCTAGCCCAGTTCATCTGCCCTCTGCCCAAGGGAAATCCAGTATCTAGAAATGTTACAGGACAAAGAGGCCATCTGTCATCATTAGCCCATACTCAGAGATGGGAATAGGTACGTTGAACTTTGTCAGAAGACCAGTGATTCTGGAGAAGAGTGAGTGTAGCCTCTCTAAGCCTGTTCTTCTATCCCCCAAATTACAGTTTTAAACATAATGCTTCACAGTAAAGACTACAATCGCCTTTATTTTAAATAATCACAACTCAGTGATACTTTATTACAACATTTTCAATTCTAAAGTTAATTTCTTAAATCAATTTTTCTAGAGCAAAGACTACAATAACTCTTATTTTGAGTAATAATCAGCAAAACTCAGTGAAAATCTATTATAACATTTTCAATTTAAAAGTTAATTCTTAAACTATTCAGCATGGGTGGAAGCTGAATTTACCTGTTCAGCATGGGCATCTTTAGGGTAGAAGCTGAATTTACCTGCTCAGCATGGGCATCTTTAGGGTAGAAGCTGAATTTACCAAACAGTAAGGATGAGAGATGAGAGGTGAAGACCAGCCATGTCATGTCCGCCCCAGACTGACAGACTCTATCTTATTCTTACTATATGTGCTTTCAAATTTGCTAGGATACTTTCATCTCTATTCCTGGCTTTTGTGGAATTGATACCAGATTTTTCATACTGAATTTCCAGGCTCTTGGTCTTGGTGGTTCGAAGAATGAAGCGACAGACCACAGGATAGGTTTTATTCAACAGGTATAAGTGTTACAGCTCTTACAACAAGCCAATCCTCCTTGTAGAGTAGGATTAGCAGTAAGATAGGTAAGAGGCGAACCTCTTTGCAAGTGTTTACAGCTCTTATAAAGGGGCAAATATCTTTGCAAGTGTTTACAGCTCTTATAAAGGGGCAAATCTCATAGAGCAGGATACAAGTGTTACAGAGCCAAACCTCTTTGCTCTTCTGCTCTTTCTCCTGAGATCTGCCGAGGTCTGTGCTCAGGCTCTCTGGCTTATATAGGGGCAGTTGTCCAATGAGCTTTTGGGTCTTGAAAATAGACTAACCAAGAGCAGGTTTTGAAAACAGACCAATCAGGGATTCCCTGGAGGACTCTCCAGAAGTCCATGTGAGGAGACAGCATGGCGCCAGTGTCTTCCCCCGCTTGTGTTTGGTTCTTTTGGCTACTGGAGTCTCTGTTGGAGGAGGGAAGCTCCCCCTCCCCACTTGCCTACACTCCAGCTTGGTGGTTCCTCTGCCAACTGCCACCAACACTGTCAAGACGGAGGCAGCAGGGCCTCCAGCCCCTCTTGGCTGAGCTGGCTGGGGCGCCACTTGTCCGGTATCAGGATGGTTGATTTTTTTCTCATAGTATATGTTTGCACAAATATCTTGGCCATATTTTTATTCATTAATTTTTTTTAGTTGACAAAAGGTTGCATGTGGTGTAC